CGGGGGGCGGGGGGGTTTGCCCCCTCTGCGGGTCGCCGGTCCGTGGCGGGGCTGTACCGATGGCGGCCGCAGCCTGCGGTTACGATGGCCCTGTCTGACGGGGATGGTTTCCACAGAGCTTGGCGCCCTGTCCGCTTGCCCGGAGAGGGGTTCCCTGTTTAAAGACGACAAACCTGCTAAGCCACTGCTTTTCCTCAAAATTTATTCCCGTAATTATTCAAAGCAGGTTATATTTAGGCACTTGAGTGCTGTGGTTTCTGCTGTTCTGCTCGTTCATCTGTTTTATTCTCAAAATGTTTTCAGCAGTTTATGCACTCACCTTTCATCTTAAGTTTACTTTATAAACTCTTGGCTGAGAACTATCCCTGCCTGGTCTTCGGGGGATACTGCGATGCCCGAGAGAAAAAGATTAACAGATAACACATGCAAATCGTTGCTTATGTCTGCCTGGCATAGTAGTTACAGAATTAAATTTGGGTTATGCTGTAGGATTTGTTGCTAATTTGCTATTGGGGAGGGAATAACATATAAAAATGGGCAAACTTTAACTCCTGAACATTAAATGTTTTGTTTCCACTTTTTAGAAGGAAGCATTCATATTGGGAAATGGCAGAAGCGGTTTTTCATCCCCCAAGAAGGAAAAGAAGAGTTTTTGAGTTGTATGAGTCTCCCTTTCCTGTGGATGTAGGTGGGAAGGATTTCAGAATATGCCAGGCTGAAATCCTTAACAACAATGTTATTGTGAGGAACCCTGAAGATATTGAACAGCTTTATAACAAGGTGCTGTACCCTGTTTGCACAGTACTTTTAGTGTTTTAATGTAGGTAAAGCATAATACTTTTACAATCTGCCTGCCTTTATGCTTTCTTTCCCCTCCAGCCTCCAGTAATCCTCCATATTTCCCTCCTCTCCTGAAATCAGTACAAAACTTATCTTCCATATCAAATGTGAAAAGTATTTTGTTCTTGCCCCAGTAAATGGATTTTGGAATGAAGCGACATTGCGAGCTAAAAAACAGCTGCAAAGACTTCATGTTTGTTACATTTATTTCTCCTTTCAACATTTTATGCAACCTTGCAAAAGCATTTTCTTGTTTCTAAAGCTCAGGAGGTTGGAATGTTAATGTTTTATAAATGCTTGTATAATACTTTTAACTTGAATGATTTCTTCCTGAGTAAAATAAACTACGTTAAGCCTTTTATGCCTGAGTACCGTTTCACCACCATTCTTAATGTAGTGGCTTTATCCATCTCTCTGTTTTCTATTACAGTGTCACAGCATCAATACACAGGTGTTTTCTTCCACATCTGCTTTCTTGGAGATGTCTCCTAACAAATATTTAGAATTGAGGAAAAAGACCCAACCCCCTCCACTGGTTAAATCTTTGAGTGCAGGTGTTTAATATCGATCTAGCTATCAGAAGCTAAGCAAAAGGCTTTAAGCAAAGCTGAAATGCTGCAGAATTTCGGGTTGTCTTTTTTTTTCAGCTGATCTTGGCAGTCAACATTTTATAATTTGGAAAGAAGTTAATTTTTCTGTCATGATATAATATGGATTTTTCTTTTCCTTTGAAGGGCTATTTTGGAAAAGGTATCCTTTCAAGAAGTCGACCAGTGTACAGCATTTCAGATCCTTTACTGGTTACTAAGTGGCAAGGTAAATTGTGCCCATTTGTATTTCTGTCACTGTTCTAATAGTACTTTTTGCTTTTCTTTGCTCCTTGAAGATAGATGTTTATAAGTTACACACAGAAAAATAATCTCTCTGCTGGGTCAGATCAAGGATCTCTCTCTCCCCATACCTGATAATGGCCAGTACAAGATTCACAGGAAAAATATGTGAACAGGAAACAGATGTCAGTAGTTCCTTAGTGCATTCTCCTAGCCTTCAATAATTTATTGCTTAGGAAGTCTGTAAGTAAAGGTAACATCCTTGGACTTTTCTTCATATAACTGTCCAATTTTTCTTGGTTTTAATCTGTAGATTTCAGTATCTGTGAAATCATCAGGCAAGGATATGTGAAATTTTTAATCTGCTTATAGCCAACTACATCTAGTCTGCTCTTGGTTGTTTATAGAAATACTGTCACTCTTTATTCATCTTTTCCATGACAGTTAAGTCTCAATAGACCTCACTGGATTTTATCATATCCCTCTGTAATTGTCTTTTTATGGACTGGAGAAAAATAGTGTATTTAGTTGTTCCTCTTGTGCTAGCTGTTACCTCCGTACCTTTTCTAGCTCTGCTGTGTCCTCCTTGAATGCGAGTGGGACCAAAATGGCAGAGAGTATTGAAAATGGGGGTAACTATTAGGCTGCAGTGATCAAAATCATATAAAACCATTTTTATGTTGATGAAACAACGTACGCTTTTTCTTTATACAGGTGCTAACATAAACATGCCTATAATTGCATCTACAAAGTAAGTTAATGTACATGAATGTATTCTTGGTTTTTCTTAGGAAACAGATTATATTTTATCTTACTGGTTTTCGGATTGTTGGCTGTATAAACGATGATGATGATGACTTGTTTCTATTTCTTTTTATTTCATTTATAAATCACATCAGAAAAACTAGAAATAAGAGTAGGTGATATTCAGCATGGTTCTTTGTGCAAGCTTGCAGGTGTTAAATGCTGAATAGAAGCCAAGATTGAGTGCATGCATAGTAGTATGGGTAATTACTTTATAATAATATCAAGCATAATAAACTTGTTTCTCAACTGAGAAGGAGAAGGAAAAGTTTCTAGGGCAGACTGTTTAAAATAGCTCTCCTATTTCCTTATTGAATTATTATAGTGTGGGCTGAAGCAGCTCTTGAACTTTTATAATACATAAATGTTTTACTTTTTTTTTTAAGCCTCTATTAACATTGCTGGTTTGTACATTTAGCAAAATGGGGTGCTGGACCACACAGTTATTTTGTTCTGCTTAAATGAACTAACTGTTAAGAGGGCGCAAGTTAGTTACTCCGTTTGCTTTAATCTTACAATAACTCTAAAAATTTTAATTTATTTAAATTTAAAAGTTAAGCTCCTTCAGTCCTCAACTTTAAGGTAAATGCAAACAGTATCAATATTGCTGCTACTGCTACTGCAGTTATTACTGCTTGCAGAAACACTTGTCAGCCTACTTTGTGACTGCTTTATGCATCAGCAAATACAGCTGAGCATCAATGAAAGTGTCATTACATTTGTGCAGAAAATGCATCATGATCTGTCTCACTAGAGATCTGGAAGTGCAAACTGTGGCAATTAAATCATAGGACAAAGAGAAGTCTAATTTTTTTATAACAAAAAGTACAGCACTGAATTATATAGCTTTATTATGAGACTTCAGAGGGACTTATATTTTGTGTTGGCACATGCAATTTGCATTTAATTGTCTTTGCAGTTCTTTACTACCTGGTCTGTAATTGCTGTGTTAGGATTTTGTTTGGGGAAAAAAAGAATATTATACTAGTTATCCAGGTTTGAGTAAGGACAGCTGCACTCCGCTACCTGTAGCTTTCACAGAATGAAGATTATTGAAGTCTTCAACTGGATGTTAATGTTATCTTTCAAGGAGACATAATTAAAACTCTATCATAATTCAAAAAAAATAGAAATATTTACAGCTTTCAGCTACTCTCTCATTGATAGAATTATTGCTATTTATCAGGGATGTAAGGGTTTTGGTTAAAACTGAAGGTAGTTTCTGCTTAAGATTTCTACACTGGTGTTTTCGCTATGCCATTGCAGGTAGTTAAAGGTAGTTAAAACAGAGTTTGAAGGTGGCATTCTCAGTAGTTAGCTGTGTGTTAGATGAAGTGCATGAGATTATATGCAAGGCTTTGTTGCGTATTTTAATCATGTGAGCTCTGATACCAAGATGGTTTTGCAGGGAATTCAGGCTTAAGGCTTCCATGGGAGAAGGGAGTTTTTGCCTGGGTGAAGTTCTTGCTTCTTGAAACTGTGTAACAGTAATCCTCAGTGCCTGGTTCTTGTGCAACATTTGGTAGGTGTTTGTTGCCACCAAAATTTAAAAGGCAAAACAAAGCCAAAGAGGGTAGCAGAATCTTGATGTTCAGTAATGTCTGTGGCTTCCTAAAGACTGGAGTCCTATTGCATTGTACATGTTGTATTTTGCATTACTGGGGGATGTGTTCAGATTTGTTTTGTGAAATGTGCTGAATCTTTTTTTTTCTTTTTTTAAGATGCTTATTTTTAAGGTGTTCATTAAAGGATGTAATGCCCTAGAACTTCTCATTTATTTTACTTGTTTGCTAGGTACCAGTGTCATGTTCAGTGGGCTAAAAGTATTTTGCAAGAGCAAGGATTTGATGACTGCTCGGTTACCAAAATTCTTGAAAATTACACTAAGCCTCTTGAGCTGCCATTTTTGGAAGAGGATGGAGCTGAACAAACCAGTAATAGTTGCAACAGAATGGGCCCAAATACAGAAGTTACAGAACTTTCCAGACAATCTTCTACAGATACTGGAAATGTAGTAGCCCTAAGTCCTCAGAATGAAGGCTACAAGAAAGCCTGTTTGGAGAGAGATCCAGCACTTGACCCTGTGGCCGTATGTGGCTCTAAAGAACAGGAACAAGGTGACTTTAAAGAGATAGCTGAAGTGCCTTGCCAGAGGCATGGTTTTCTTGTGCATTGTGGCTGCAAGGCTAAGGACAGCACTGAGCAACGATCTTGTGAGATGATCAGGTCAAAAGAATGTGCTCCAGAATATGTATTGGTGCAAGAGGAAGAAGAAGGTAGCTTATGTCCTGAAGATGACTCTGCTGATGCGCAAGAAAACGTAAGGATAAAGAGTATCTCATCTTTTAGAAAAATTATATTATCAGTGCTATTTTCAAAATTCAGTATTTTTTTCCAGTTTAAAGTTTTAGTAATATAGTACATTTTTCTTGTAGCTTGTCAAGAAGGAAAAACTAGTATGCAGAAAAAATCCATTTAGGATTTTTGAATATTTACAACTCAGCTTGGAAGAGGTATGTTTCAAGTACAGTACAAGCTGTTTTACTTTTAATCTGAAAAGTAAACATTAATCTGTGTTACAATGTCATTTAATATCTGTTTCTAGAGTATGGGGTTCTGCATCTCTGAAATATTTGGGTTGTCTTAGTCATTAAATTTATTTTTAATAATCTGCAATAATTACATGAGATGGTTAAAAAAAAGTCCAATCCCATTCACTTTAGATGAATAATCCCACTGATAGAGAGACCAGTGATAGGACTTAAGTTTAGAAATACCAGGAATATAGCATTTATATAAATACTGCTTTAATTGTGCTGATTCTAAATACATTATTGTGTGTTATTTTTAACCCTGTGCCTTTAGGAGTCTACAGCACATGCATAGATTTTTTTTTTTTTTTTTTTTTTTTTTTGGTAGTGCTGTGTCTGTTGAAATGTAAAGGTAATGAAGACAAATCTCAAAGGAAACTTTCAGGCAACTTGTTTGTCTTGGTGACATTAGGATTCTTGTATAAAATGAATTTGAGCCTTTGTTCTTGCACAGCATATAAACTACAGGAAGAGTTTGGCTATCAGTTAAACTTATTCTGTTTATTTTTTCAGGCTTTTTTCTTGGTGTACGCTCTGGGATGTTTAAGTATTTATTATGGTGAGGTAAGAGATGGGATTAATTTTGGATTACTGGGGATACCATTAGTTTGGATATGTTTTGGTCTGAAATTTTTGCCTACTATGGCAGTATTTTATGCTGTTAATTCTGAAGAAGGAAATACCAAGCAGAGTAATTGGGAAGTTTTTCTTGTAAGTAATGATTTAATAATAATTTCTGTTTATGAAACACTGGTCTGAGAGTTTTATGTTTACCAAAGCAAATATAAATATAGTTAAGCACAGTCTTCCTGTAAAGAAACGTTTTTGCTGTAACTTAGGCAGGAAATATGGGGAAAGCAAGTATGGGAGGAACAATATGGTGAATAGTCTCTCTTTCCTGAAACAGGAAAATTCCTTGGAGTTTTAAGCATTTATCTATAAGTACATCAAGCTACTGTTAATGTAATGACAAAGTAAGTGAAACCTATGCTTCTAGTTTAAGGTTTATCAGAGTGTCCTTTAAACAAGGGTATTATGGGACTGATTGTGAAATGCTAAAAAAACCCACTCAGTGGAGCAACAGGTTTCTATCTTATATTTAGGGAATCCGTATTTTATTGCCCGAAGTTCATGCTCCTTGCAATAGACTGTGATAGCTGGCTGTTATGCTGTACTACGCACCATATTCTATATCTGCTTAATATTAATACAGTCACAGTAATGCCTTTGCTTGTGATTTTTAGGAGCCCCTAACTATTTTGAAGCTATGGGAAGTTTTCAGCGAAGTGAAGCCCGATTTTAAAACTACCTACATGGCGTATCACTACTTCCGCAGTAAGGGTTGGGTCCCCAAAGTTGGACTGAAGTATGGAACTGATCTCTGTGAGTAGCTTCCTTAAAAAAAATTGAATAACTTGCAGCTGACTTCTTTTCAGGCTGTGCAAGGCTACAGTGCTAAAGATGAATTCAATAATGAGGAGCTGCATGACTGGAGCTACTTGCAGTTGGCAAGACATTTTTGGCTAGACAGTGGGTTAGCAATAAAGTTAGGACGTGAGCGGAAGATAACATCACATATCCAGTAGCTGAAGAGATAGCTTGAAAGGCCCATTGCTTTGCTTCATGAGGTTAATAATACAGGATTGCGCTGAAATTCCCAAGCGTCTCTGTCCCCTTCTAAAAGCATCTTCTGCAGTATTAAAACATGAAAGTCTTTGGAATGGCAGGTTTGCATCTAGATCCCAATGCACATCAGAGCCTGTGCATCTCATTATTCATCCCTTTTAACAGAAGCTGGACTTCTGCTGAACTTGCAGCATGCTAAGACAGTTTCTCTGCATGGTGTTTTTTTTTTTTTTGGGGGGGGGTGGGGTGGGAGGGAGAAGGGACTTGCTTGTTTGTTAATGGTAGGGTTTTTAATCTTACAGAAATAATTAGTAGTGTCCATAATCCCTTGCTAAGTAATTCAAGAACTACATTCAACTCACATCAACATAAACAGTACAGTAATGCCTGTCACTACAGGAAAATGTGCATGAAGGGACATATTTTGTAATGTATGCATGCAAGCCAGCAGCTGTTTTAATACTGCTGAAGCAGTTTTATAATTTGGGGTTTTTTGTATTTGAGTATGTTGAGGTTGTGCTGAGCTAGTGTTTTAGATCAGCGTGTAGGTTTGGCTGAATTCATCATCACTGTTCTTAGTACCCTGTGCTGTAGATGGGGTTTTGATATTGATCACCTGATGTATATGTGAAGTTGATACTAGTTTGTTCACCATTCATTTGTGTTCTGGCCTGAATTTGTTGTTTAGTGTATCACTGCAAGGGATATCAAAGGAAGTGGATTAGTTCAAGGCCAGTAGGATTTCTGCCTTACACCTGAGCATCTCCAGCTTCTTGTTCTTTGGCAGTACCTTCTTAGAGTTGTTATTACTACAGTTGTTTATAATGCATAATTTGCAAGTCGTGGCTGTCACTGTCACAAGTGTTGCTAGTCCTTTTCTTGGCAGGGTCTATGCTAGTCAGCTGTATGAGGAAACCCGTGCTAGTTAAAGAAAGCCACCTCTTACAAGCTCATGACAAAGGGAAGATGGGAAATGTAACCATTTAGGTCAGTTACAGCAGTCCAGTTGCAATAAGTCCTGTGTACCCTTGGATAGAGAAGGAGCTTTCAGTGGGTCTGGTGGGCAGTTTGTTAAGAACTTGTGCCCTGTGCCTCTCCTAAACCTTGTGGAAAATGCTTGCTGGGAACAGAAACGCAATGGCTTATCGTGATCTTTTACTTGTACTCCAGTGGCTCAACTTCTGTTGTGAATACAGTGTTAAAAGCATGAGTCTGTTGCAGAAAAACTCCCATCTTGAACTTTTTCCCATGGCAATTGCCAACTGTCCTTTGGCTCTTCTACTTTATCTTTTAGCTGCCACTCCCCTGCCCTGAGTCACCCTGCTGCTCCCATGGGTTTTTTGTCTCTTCCCTGTCTCTCCGCTTTCTGGGACAACTTAATTCTGTGCAGAATTTGAAAGTGTTGAACTTTTGTCTTGTGTAATTAAACTTTACAAAACACTTGAAAATATTTACAGACCCGGATATTAAACTCAGATGGATACTCTGTGATTATCTAACTAAGGTGTTTCTCTTTCCTTTCAGTGCTGTATCAAAAAGGCCCCCCCTTCTATCATGCAAGGTTTGAAGCTCATGTTTCTGTCTAACTTCTTATTTTCAAATCAGTAAATTTCTCTTTCACAAATTTAGCGTCTTCACT